TTATATATGTTTAGATAACAATAAAGTCCTAATTTTTAATTAAAAATATCTTGATATCTTATTATTTATTGATAATATAACAATTATTTTTTATTAATAAATCTGACTGCATTAAATTTTTATTGTTTTTAATCATGATTTCTTCCATTTTTTTGACGCTTTCTCAAGATAAGCAATACACGTATTACTTTCTTTGAATATGATATAATAGCTCTTTGAATCCCAGCAAATACCAATTAGTTACATGTAACAATACCAACAATTATTATAACTCTGTTATAACAATTATTATAACACATGTGTTATAGTTATATTGTTGAGTGGAAAATTACAACTAGGTACGTTACATGTAACTTAGTGTTTGCTGGGATGATATATAATTTGAACATATCTGAACTTTTCAGATCGTTAATCAAAAAACAGCCGAAACCTTACATCTTTCATTATATGTCAAAAGAAAAGATTCAACAATAATTTGAAATATAAATTAGATAAATACATTAATGGCTTAATTCATATTCTCACCAATGCATTTATGTGGGCCTTCCCCGAATGGTAAATAAGCGTAAGGGTGTCTTTTTGCTATCTCCTCTGTGTTGAATCGTTCCGGATCAAATTTATCTGGGTCTGGATAAATTGATGGATCCAGATGTAGTCCAAGTATCGGTATAGTTATTGATGTGCCTTTTGGCACGCGAATGTTTGTTGTCGGTAAGTTTATTTCCTTGGTACAGATACGATTCAAAATAGGAATAGCTGGATACTTTCTTATAGTCTCTGTCATATATATAAAAAAAAAGTATGAGATAAATTCTTTCCGAAATACAAGCAAATTATTTGCTTACGTATAAGTACATATAAGAAACAAATACATTTTTATATTATAAAATCTTTCCCCTTCGTTGAAAATTACATCATCATGAAAGCACAATGGTATTTATAGTCAATTCTTATATTTAAGACTACTTTAAGTATTCATGTCATCTTAAGATAACATAAATCAATCACAGTGTCGTATATTAGCATCTGAAGACATTACTTAAGACGATGCGGAAATAAAATTCGGCCAATGTGATCAAGAGACACGGTAGTGGCTTGGTGTCAAGTGTTTAAAAAATATATATAAATATATATGTCAGTCAAGCCATGCCGGGTCTCTTCACGCGAGCCATCGCGTTGCTAGCACCCGAGATTATGAGAACTCAATAACGGTCGAACCGATTAAGTTCCAAGTAGGCTTAATCGATAGCTTGAGTTCGATTTGTGTAATGAAAGTGTATTTATTTTTTTCCTACGTGCCCTACGGGCGGAAATATTGCAATGCAAAGTCCGAAATGTAGGATAAAATATACTTGCCATTTATTACCATGTGAAGATACGTCATTTCGTTTATAGCATCGTAAGTCATATCGTTGTACTTTGATAATATTTCGTCAATTTCTTTATGAACTTTATCTTGTATGTCTTGATGTTGAGCTAATTCGTACAGAGCGAACGTCATCGTCGTCGAAGAAGTTTCAAAGCCAGCTTGGAAGAAGGCATTACTTTGCGCAGCAGCTTCCGCCATAGTAAGTTTATTTATGATTGCTGCTGGTATATAAAGTAATAGTTTTGTTA